TAAATGTACATCTTACATACAGTAATTATTTTTTTATTATTATTCAAATTGTAATTCGTGTCAAATGTTAAAATAATTGGTAACATTTATTTAAATAATTTAGCGCAGCCGTTGTTCTRTRTTAAAACAAACATTTGGGTAAAATTGTTGCTRACTGTGATTTTTATTGTGAAAATGGTCTTAAATTTTATTTCAAGTGGCATTTAAAAAGTCTTAAAAACTTTTAAATTGAACTTGCCTTAAGCTGTAGGAACGCTGTGTAATATCTGTTGAAATGAGCAGAAAAAGTATGTGGTTGAAATCTCCGAATCGATGAATTCATCAAAAGTGTTGTTAAACAACAATTTCAGCCACCATTTCTCAATGAACTACCATGAATTAGTTTTACCCATTCTATGACCCTGATTAAGAAACAAGTTCAGTTTATCCAGGATTACTAAGAGATCCAGTTCAACTAACCCTGACAAAGAGGAGTTCTGCTCAGTGGTTCTATGGGTCTAGGATTTCTGACTCCAGGGAACCAATCACAATCAGGAAGCTGGAAGGAAAACTAGAAAACAAAGAAACCAGCAAATACATGAAATGAATTATCATAGAGGCACGCGTTGATCTGAGCATTGTGCTACATGAAACTTTTAACTTTATACAGTATTTAAAACTCTTTACAGTCAAAGAGGTGTAACAATATGAATAATTCAGTCTAGTGAGTGGCTTTGATTGAAATAACCAGTTTATGAAATGTTCCACTGAAAGGTAACAGGTGATTTTCTTTGTTTGTTTAAATCTAAATCTAAAATCAGATATTGGGAACAAACAGTGCTGCTGAAGTCTCAAAATCAAACGTAAAAGTAGAACTAAACACCTTCCCTTGTTGGGCACTCTTAGTTTCGTTGTATTTTTAGGTTTGCTGATTGGTTGTGAAGCGATGTTAATGTGYGATCTGCTCTGGAGCAGCAGCTTTAGTTGTTAGGATAATGTTGTCGCAGGTGAAAAAGTGAACCTCAGACTGAACCTGGAGTTACCTGGACAAACAGCTAATCCTGCTTCAGAGTTCAGGTTTCACAGAGAGAGACGTTTCAGCTCTCCTSTCCTCTCCGTCCTGTTTTCTCCTCTTTAACCCACCAGGTCGGACCCTGATCGTCACTCACGCCGTGGAAATCCGCTGACGCCACGAGTAAAATAGCTTTCCTGTTGTCACGTTTACTTTCAGGTACGACCCTCGCCACAACAGGTGGTGCTCCATCCAGCCTCTGCAACAGCAGCACGCGGACCACTGCGTCTGCGTGGCGGGCGGCCATATTTACACCATCGGCGGGCGCGACTACCGAGCCGAGCTGGACTYGGTGGAGCGCTACGACCCGCACACCAACACGTGGGAGTTTGTGTCGTCTCTGAAGAGAGAGGTGAGGCCGTTCAGACACACATGTGCAGGAGAGGCTTTGTCCACAAGATGGGGACAAACGCTGGTCTGAGTGCTTTTTTTCTGTAGCTCTGCTCTGATTCTCCTTAGGTGTATGCCCATGCCGGAGCTGTGGCGGATGGTAGGATTTACATAACGTGTGGGCGTCGAGGGTCGGCGTACCTCAGAGAGACGTACTCTTATGACCCAGCAGCCAATCAGTGGGCAGCGTGTGCGGAGGGGCCAGTGGAGCGGGCGTGGCACGGCATGGCGGCCGTTAATGGACGCGTGTATGTCATCGGGGGGAGTAACGATCAGCGTGGGTATCGACGTGACGTCCTGAAGGTATGGAGTCAGGAGTCATCTGCTGTTTACTATTGCACTCAGATAAACCTGCTGCAGGAGAAATACCTTTTTGTTTATTCATCAATTTTTGTAATTATTCTTATTATTTTAGTTTAGTTTATAAAGTTCATTAATTTTAGGGATGTACCGAAATGAAAATTTCAGCCGATATCAATATCCGATATAATTATTGCTGTTATGGCCAATAACCGATATTTACTGATATTACACAAAGACACAAATTATATTATACATAAACACACAAACACACTTGGGTCTTTTTTTGATACTGTAAATAAATAACCAGAGCTCTGACATGGCTCTACTTCAGTTATTCCTGGTTACGCAGCGTCAGTATCACTATTATGATCAAACAGATGCCGCTCAACCAAACATCTCCCCTCCCAAAACAGAAACACAAAGATAAAAATCAAAAAGAGAAAAAATAAGAAGGTCCTCTGGATGGGTTCCTCTTTAGTGAAACGTTTCTTGGGCGAGAGACGAAATGTTTCACTAAAGAAGAACCCATCCAGAGGACCTACTTATTTTTTCTTTTTGATTTTTTTCTACCTGGATTACTGAGATGCATCAGGACACAAAGATAAAAAAGTGGGAAATCAATATCAGATGTTAATATCGGCCCAGTTTTACATATCGGACCTATACCGATATTCTAAAAAATTGCCAATATCAGCCGAAACCGATATCAACACTGATATATCGTGCATCCCTAATTAATTTCATTTAAAAAAAAAACTTAAATTCTTTATACAATAACAATACAAATCACAAATAAAATGAAAGGCAGCAGAAAGAAGAAAAATTTGTATATCTGCCCCTTTTGTCAAAAAAATTAATTCAAACAATAATAATCTTCAAATTTCAAAGACAAAACAAAAATTCGTAAAGATACTATTTTATATTTTTTCAACAAACTTTTCCCATTCTCTTAACCATAAACATTGATCTGGCATTTTTAACATCGCTCTCTAAATTGTTCTATAATTTTGTTCTTTGGATTAAAGTACACCATTCCTTCAAACTGTTTCTAAATTTAGGTTTCACTAACATCTCCATCCCCTTAAGATAATAATGACTAGGGGGCGCTATAGCTCCCACTGGAAAAGTCATAGCACTTCCATAGCACCCCCAGGAAATATTTAATTTTTTTTCTTAATCTAATTATTTTTTTAAATGTGTAGTTGTTAAGACAGAAAGAAAAAAAATAAACTTCTAATTTCAGTAAAAAATAAATAAATAAAATAATATAAAAAACATCACCCGACATGATAAGAACTTTGCGCCTTATCACTTCCGTGATAGCACCCACAGCAAAATGCTTAGCCCTCCCTTAGCACCTGCAGAAAAAAAWTTCTGGAGCCGCCACTGATTATTTGAGTCAAAGCTGTCTGTTAGCATAATATCTCTTGATCCATAGCATGGATTTTAAGGAAAATTTCAGGAAATAATCTTTGGGGTGTACATCAACTGATTCACTTTTGGAGTTAACCAAATATAAGTTGGCCAACATGGCTAGTTGAGTTTTAAAACTGAAAAGTGGCTAAAATTCAGACATTTTTCTAAATCCTGCACTAAAATTTGGTGTGGTTGTAGCTGGGAGTCATTCCCAACATATAATCTGAGCATGACACCTCAAAGAGATGATTTTTACTGTTATTTTCAAAGTTTATCAAAACGATCACAACTCTTGTTTCTCAACATAGGATTGAACTCCAACATACACTGCAGTAGGTGATGCTAGGATATTTTCTCTACCTCATTTTTTTATTTTTATTTTTTTAAATTTTAGATGGCATGCTATGACCCCGCATCAAACTCTTGGTCTCTGTTGAGCCCCCTCCCCTCCGGACACGGCGAGCCCGGCATAGCTGTGCTGGACAGCCGCATCTACGTCCTTGGAGGACGCTCGCACGACCGAGGCAACAGGATGAAATACGTTCACGTGTACAACACGGACTCGGATGAGTGGGAAAACGAGACGGAGCTGAAGGAGCGTGTCTCTGGCCTGGCGGCCTGTGTGGTGCTCCTGCCTCCTGCCGTGATGGCTCAGGCCCGGGGCTGGGAGCAGCGCACCAAGGCCTCAGACATYGAGAACTCAGAGGACTCCAGTGAGGATTGAAGCAGCTTTCAATCAGCACTTCCTGTCCAGCGCCTTGACTTTGTTACTGATGGTTTTTTTACCTGGTCATGCATCACGTATGAATTTGCTTGATTTTGAGTGCCTCTGAGCTGATGTCACTTTCTGTTGTTACTTCAAACACCTGTGGTACTCAYGTCATCCAGGAACCCAAATCCACTGACATGATCTAAATCAGAGATTCTTAACCCTTGGGCCACGTCACAAATTATCACAAATGCGCATGTGCAAAGCGGGCCGACCTCACGAGTTTTATCAGGAAAAAGCTGAGGTTGCTATTGAAATGCCATTTGGATTGCACAAATTCAACAGGTGAATTCACGCTGTTAAACGTATTTGCTCTAAACAAATTTGTGTTCAATTCAATTCAAAAATTACTTTATTGATCCCAGAGGGAAATTAGGTAAAAAAATTAAGTCAAACTTTCCTTTAGGATCGTAGATGAGAAATTTCATAAATATCCAAGCTATATGTGTGCTTTTTGAGCTCGCTGAATTTGCACAATTACAATGACATTTTAGCAACCTTTTACCTGGTTGACCTGTGACCCAGAAGAGCTAGGCTTTGCTATGCGCATGCACATTTGTGATACATTTTTATCTACAAAATGGTCTATTGTGCCACAATTGCCACTTTGAAGATGTCAACAGATAAATCTGTTTTCAGCTGTGGGCCATGAGGGCAGCAGGATGTCATTGGTTTTGGACTGAGTTGCAGTACACTTTCTCACCACTAGGAGCGGTAGTGCGCTGCTCAGATGTTAATGTGTTGAAGAAGAGCCTTAGCCATATGCTAGCAAAATTCAGAGGAATAAAAGCGTATTTTAAAAAAGTTAAAGCCAAAAAGTGAAGAAAACTTGCCCAAAAGACCAAAATTGTTTGTAAGTATAATGCAGATTTTATCAAATATGTTTTATTCATGGGACTAACGATTCAACAAAGCACTGAAGCCAAAACAGCATTTAGAGTTTGTCACTATAGAAGAGCAGCTTCTGGTGAAAACAAGCAAACAAAAACTATTTTTGTGTTTGTGGGGGTAATTTAATTGTGTAAAAGTTCCAGGGAACGTGATTAATTTAATATTTACGTGCTGAGGCTGTCAGAGAGATGTTTGAGGGGTGGAGGTGGGATGCTGTTTATTTATTTTTTAATATTTTAGTTCTGACCTTWTATGTTTTGTTTATGTCACAACCAGAAGTTTAACAGTTCAAAATGGAGCCACCAGGGACAYAATTAAAAACCATAAAGACAGGACCAAACATTAGGGCAAACTGTATTTTCTATTTTGTAGTATTTCTCTGTCATTAGATTTCCCAGACTAGTTAATTTTGTTACAAACTCACGGTGTTCAGTGTGCGACACAAACAACAACATATGTGTAGATTAGAACAAATTTCAAGTAGGGTCCATGATCTCAGATCATCTCAAAGACTAGTTCTGTTCTTCCTTTCATCAATATATAGCCATTTTATGTTGTTATTAACCCTAAATATTTAGAAAAATGCACTTCAAATGGCTGGAAATGCATAGTTTTGAGTAGATTTTTTTCTAAATTTTCCATCTGGACCCTCGTAGGATCACCTTGCGCTGCTGGCGTGCTCTACTACGGTTAGGTGTTTCTGCCACCAGCAAATGTTGACAGGTATATATAACTGTTTGTCATAATCATGTCTTATGATTTACTGTATATGACAAGGTCTTTGCTTGTTAAACTGTAAGTGTAATTCATTTAGTTCTAAAGCAAACACAATACAAATTAAACTAAGATTGAGATCAGTTATCAGTTTGATCAGTACATTGTAATGTCTGAATGGACCTCGTGCCACTTTGGATTCAACAGGTCAAAAAGGTTAAGAACCCCTGATCTAAATCACTGAACACATCTGACTTTCTTGAAAAGACTCCATCTTTATTCCTTCAGGACTTTTTGTTACAGGATCTGTTAAGATCCACGTTGAGTGTTTCTTGGTTTTCTTGGGAATACTGTCTGGCTCACATTAAAAAAAACCTCACTCGTGCCTTGTTTTGTACTCACATCCTCAGAGTGCCATGTCTGACCATGACACAGAAACCAGGTTTTTGTGAAGTGAAAACCAAACCATTACGGACTCTTGCGTTTTTTTTTTTAAATTATTTTATTTTCTAATTAACATCATGATTTTGAAATATTCTGGCTCTGTGTCACGTGATGCTGCAAGCATCTGTTTGTTCCTTCTGCTCAGTTTTAACACCTCTACCACTCTGTGTCGAGTTACTGTTGCAAAACCAAAAATAAGAATTTTGTTTTGATATGATGACATCAGTTCTGTTGGGAAAGAAACCAACTTCTCTCTCTCTCTCTCTCTCTCTCTCTCTCTCTCTCTCTCTCTCTCTCTCTCTCTCTC